TATATATATATATATATATATATTTCTTATAAGGTATCTTTCTTAAAGGTATCTTTCAAGCAATAGTTTTGCATTTTGATAAAATTCAATTTATTAATTTCTCTGTTTTGTGGTTGTACTTGTTATATAATCTGAATAATCTTTGCTTACTGCAAGGTCATGAACTAATATAAGTCAATTTTTGTGCATGGTATGAGGTAAAGACTGAGGTTCATTATTGTTAACATGCATATGCAGTTGTTTCCTCACTATTTGTTTATAAATTAACTTTTTTCTATTGAATGAATTTGCTACCTTTAGTGAAAATCAAATGACCATATGTGAGTGTGTTTATTTTTAGTCTCACTATTCCTTTCATTTGATCTATATTTTTATTCTTTTACCAATACCCTACTGACTTGATTATTACAACTTTATAATAAAACTCCAACTTTGATAAAAATAAGTTTTCCGACTTTGCTCCTCTTTTTCCCAAAATTTGTTTAGCCCTTCTACTTTGTTGTTGCATTGGTCTGGCTTATCTCTTCCATATGATTTCAGAATTAATTTGTCAATGTTTTAAAAACTCACTTTTGAAATTGAGAGTGCTTTGGATCAATTGACAATTTTGTTTTCCTTCTGTTAGTTTGCTCACCTTTTTTTTCTACTGACCAATTTAGGAGCAATGGCATGTGAATGATATTGAATTCTCCAATCTATGAACATGTTATGTACCTCCAACTAATTTATATATTAACTTACCTCTCAATATTTTATAGATTTTAGCATAGCAATTTTGCACATATGTAAATGTTATCCCATTTTTTTATATTTGATGCTATTGTAAATGGAATTATTTTTTAATTTTAGTTTCCAATTGTGCAATGCTAGTATAGAGAAATAACATGGATTTTTAATATAGTGGTTATACTTTGCAACTTGGCTAAATTTACTTAGTTCTAGTAGCTTTCAAGGAATCTTTAGGATTTTCCACATGTAAATAAATACAGTTTTACCTTTTATAAAATAATTTCCTGCAGTGTTGGGGTTAGAAACAGGGCCTCATGTATGCTAGGTGAGCATTCTACCACTAAGCTATATTCCCACCCCCTTTTTAAAATTTATTTTAAGACAATATCTCACTAAATTACTCCAATTTACTTGCAATTTCCTGCCTCAGCCTCCTGAGTAGCTGAGAAAACAGGTGTGCTCCACCAGGACCAGCCAGTTATACTTATTTCCTAGCCTTATTGCAGTGGGTAGGATAATCAGTATTGTGTTTCATAAACTGGTAATAGTTAATATCTTAGCATTGTTATTCATCTTAGGTCAAAAGCAGTCTCTTATCATTAGTATGTTATATGTTTCATAAATCCCCTTTATTGGCTAAGAAAGTTCCTTTCTATTCATACTTCATTAAAAGTTGCTTATTTTACCATAAATAACTTTCTAATTTTGTCAAATGTTTTTCTGCATCAATTGAAACTATTTTATTATTTCTCTCTTTTTTTGTGTGTTGGTCGATTGAATTAATTGGTAAACCTGCCTTGAATTGTATTAATTGTATTAAAGTCTGCTAGGTCAATGTGCATTATACCCTTATTTGAAACTAAAGACTGGTCCTTTGAATAGGTGGGGAAAAAATGGATGAACCTCCAACCAAGTAAAGAACAAAAATACAAACAAATGTTCTAACTGAATATAGACACAAAAACCCTGAATAAAATTTTAGCAAATCAAATTTTAAAATATAAATAAATAAAAATAGGAGAGGCCATTGCAGAATGTAAGCTTATAAATATGGCAGATGATTAACTTTTTTTTACTTCATTCAATCCTAATAATGACCAGAGGTATGTGTCCTTATTTCTTTTTCACAGGTAAGAAATAAAAGACTCAGAGAGATCAATTAACTTACTCCTGATCACAAAGCTAGTAAGAGGCAGAGGCAGGGCTGACCCCAGCTGATTTCAAAGCTTAGGCTCTCTCCACCACTTCACCTCTCTCAGAACTACCTTGATCTATTCTGGTCTTCTGATTACCCACCATGTTTCTTTAGAGTTCATTGGTGTGCTATGTCTATTTATTTTTCCCCATGGAATTTGAAGATATGCTCAGTATAGTTTGATTTTTCTTAGACAGAATCTTTGCTTAGGAGACTTAGGAGCTCTTGGGTAAATGCAGTTTCATCTCTCCTCAACACAAACGCAGGCAAGACTGGCATAGGTCATAGCTCTAATCACAGATGGGGAGAAGTGGAAAAGTGGAGTTCTTGGCCCGGGAGGGCCCCCTCCTTCCTCTTGTAGATTT